TCCCTTTATTCCAGTTCCTGTTAGGTCTCTCCTCAATCTCCTGATCATTTTCAGCTGGAGCTTTGGTAACAGCGTTAAATTTCCTGGTGTTCTTTTTCCCTTCAAACTGTATAGCTCATAAATACAATCTCTCTTCCACCTACTCTTTTTCATGGTAGAACTGCTTAAGAGATGACTGAATAACCATGCCACAGCATCAATATTAGACTGCCTCAAAACCTTTGCTAAACAAATTAGTCCTTTCAGTTACTTTTCAATCTAGCCTTAGGCAAGTTCTCATGAGGAGGGTAGAAAGTGGTCACATCTCTTACCAGAATATCACAATGGTCTACCTCCTAGTGGCTAACATTGTTCTCCTCTGAAACCTCCAGAGCTGGGCCTCCAGGGTCCACACTGAGCCCAGTCTTTGGACTGTCTTTCAAGCTCCCACTAGAATGGCCTGTTACACCCCACTTATGACACTCAACAGTTTTCCCTAAATCTTCCACATTCCTCTAAAAGAACCCCAGTATGGTCAGGTCTGTCACAGCAATAGCCCACTTCCTGCTACCAATGTCTGTGTTGATTTGATTTTCATTGCTGTGATAAAACACCATAACCAAGGCAACTTCCAAAATAAAGAGTTTAATTGGGCATATGGTTTTAGATGGTCAGACTCCAGAATGGCAGAGCACAGGCATGACCATGGGAACAGCTGAGAGTTCACATCTGGATTTAAGCAAGAGACAGAGAATGCATTGAGGACAGCTAGAGGTTTTTAAAACCTCAAACACCTCCTCCAACAAGGCCACTCTTCATAATCCTTCCCAAACTGTTCCTTCAACTGGAGAACAAGTCTTCAAACCCATGAGCCAATGGGGACCATTCTTATTCAAATACTATAATCATCAGTCAGGAAACAGAGCCTTGTGATGGGGGACGTCTTTCTGTGTATATGTTTATCTTATTGGTTGTTGAATAAAGCACTGTTCAGTCAATGAGGCAGCAAGTTAGGCGGGACTAGGAGTCAAGGAGGATTCTGGAAAATGTAATAAAGAGATCCAGGCAGGAAGTGACATAGCAGTCTGACTCAGAATATAAGCAGGGACAAGAAGGAAATCATCCTCTTGCTCTTCCTCTTCCTCCTGCTCTCTGCTCTGGAGCTGCCATGTGATCCCGGCAAGACAGGATGCATTCTGCTGGCATCCTTGATCAGATAAGTCTTTATAAATATATAGATTATGGCTATTGTTAATACTTAAGACAGAGCAAGCATATAATGAATCCTAGTCATTGGCCAAGAAGCATTGTAATTAATATAAGTCTCTGTGTGTTATTTTGGGCGGCCACATGGCAGCGGGGCTCAGGCAGTTGGCAGAAAGATTTATCGTTACAGCCTTGTCCACAGGCATATCTGATGGGAACATTTTCTTAATTGAGGTTCCCTCTTTCAAAATGACTTTAGCTTACGTCAAATTGACATAAAACTAGTCAGGACAACCATGTCTTTGGAGCATCACCCTAATGCAATGGTTCTCAACCTATGGGTCATGACTCCTTTGAGAGTCTCATATCAGATATCCTACATTTCAGGTATTTACATTATGATTATAACAGTAACAAAAATTACAGTTATGATGTAGCAATGAAAAAATTTTAAAGTTGGGAGTCACTGCAACCTGGAGAACTGTATTAAAGTGTCACAGCATTAGAAAGGTTGAAAACCACTGCTTTAGACTATTCCTTACACAACCCCTCCACAGCCTCCACCTGGCCCAGCCTCAGAAACTCTTTATGTCATGTATCTTTGTTATGTTTTGGCAACAAGCAATTCCTGAGATTTCATCAATGGTCGCAGCATTAGGAAGGTTGGGAACCACTACTCTAAAGTATATGAGAGGCTTTCCATTCAGATTTTGACCAGAATTTATTTAATTAGGAGGGCTAAGCATCTTATCATTTACTCATGAGCCAAACATAGATCACATACAGAAATATCTGTTCAAATTGTTCTTTGACTTTACATTGAGAGGCAGGCAGAGGACAAACATTGAGCCTTCTTTAGCCCCATGGTTAATCTGCTGATTAGTCTCTAAACAGCAGAGCTGGGGAGAGCAGAGACCATCTCACAGCACGCTCCAGTTCACATCTGCCCTGTGTGTTAACCTTTCATGTTGATGATCCTGTTTATGTTCTCTTTAGATTTGCTTATAGTCCCATGGCCAAAAATCCAAGTCATGAAAGATACTAGGTTAAAATCGTGAGCCCTTCTCTTGAACCCCAATAACTCAACCACTGTCAGACTACACCGTCACTGTGCTTTGTGCATTCTCCATTAGCAAACAGACAGAGGTACATTTTTTTACACAATATATTTTTTTCTTTAATATGTCTTGGAAACTGTCCACATTGGCCTGGTAGTGGTGTCACTGCTGCTGTCTTCTTTTTCTTTTCTTTTCTTTCTTTCTTTTTTTTTTTTTTTGACAGTGTCTTACTATGTAGTCTTGGGCTGGAATTCACTATATAGACTGGATTGGGCTTGAACTTGCAGCAATTCTCCTGCCAAGCCTCCCACCTCTCTCCTCGGAGGGCTAAGATAGCAGAATGAACCACCACACCTGACCACATGTTTCTCTTCTTAACACCTTCATAATGTTCTTTTTGGGATTTGACATCTTCTACTCAACTGCTCTCCTGTTCTTGGATGCTGAGGTTCTCCAATACTTTGCTGTAACAAATGGCACTGTGTTGAATATCACTGTATTCTTGAACAAACTAAATGGGTGTGTCACCAGAAATTTTGGGGAACCCCACTTGGCCTTCGAATGATACCAGGAGAGTCAGGGCCCCGTCTTGATGTTCTAGTCTTATTAATGAAAGAGTTTAAGGAAAGACTCATATGGATGCTTGAGCACAATTCATTAGACTTTAAAAGAAAATCCCAGGGCAGGCAAACCTCTCACCTCTGCCTGGTGGAGTAGACTGGGAAGTAGCATGGAAAAGAGAAGGAGAAAAACAACAACAAAAATCATGCTGGAGGTCAGCCACATGATGGTAGGGGAGGGAGTAGAGTAGAGTAGAGTAAAGAAAGTAAAGTAGAGTAAAGAAGCTCAGAATACCAGGGAAAGCACCCTTGGCCTCCGGCCAGCATCCAGAAGAAGACAGAAGAGAAGAAAAAGGACTCCTCTAGATGGGGCCAGGGGAGGTGGGAACAGGAGTGGGAGGCAGAGCCTCATGAAGGCTCACATGGACTCCTCTAGGGGCAAAATCCTGGGAAGTGTATGTGGGCTTAAGACGAGCTCTCCTTCCTAGGAGTGTTTCTGCTTTCCTAGATTGACGGGAGAAAAGGTCATGTCTCCACCTCAAAGAAGATTCCATTTTTTATTATAACTTAGTGATGAAACTAAATGAAGTTAATTGTCTGACTTATATTTGTACCTATTCCAAGCATTAATAGCATTAATTCTCTCCCCTCTCCCCCCCCACGTGTGTGTGTGTGTGTGTGTGTGTGTGTGTGTACATGTGAGGGTATATGATGGTTGTGAGTGTTCAGGCATACATTTACCATGGCATACTTGTGGAGGTCAGAGGACAACTCCAGGTGTCAGTGCCTAGCTTCCACCTTGTTTGAGACAGTCTCTCTTGCCCCCTTTCTGTAGCCAGGTTAGTTGGCTCACCAGCTTTAGTTACTTCTCCTGTCTCTGTCTCTTGTCCCTCAGTAGGGGATGCTGGAGTGTGTATTAACTTGTCTGGTTTCTCATGTGGGCTCTGGGCATTGGAACTCATGCTTGGATGAATGGTAAGCACTTTGCCCACAGAGCTATCTCCCCAGACCAACAATAACACTCAAAGTCTCCCAAGGCCATGCATAGTTCTAGATATTTTAAACAACAAGATAGGTATGGCGGCGTACACCTTTAATCCCAGCACTCTGGAGGTAGAGGCAGGTGGATCTCTGTGAGTTTGAGGCCAGCCTGGTCTGCAGATCAATCAAGTTCCAGAGTGCTAGAGCTACACAGAGAAACTCTAAAAACTATAGATAGATAGATAGATAGATAGATAGATAGATAGATATACAGACAGACAGACAGACAGACAGATAAATCAGTCTTTGGGCTGGAGACCTGGCTTTGTCACTGTTGCAGAGGACCAGGGTTCAATTCTCAGAACCCACATGGCAGCCCCATGACTTCTGGAAAGACAAACACACACAAAATAATGAAACAAATGTTTTAAAAATTATTTTAAAAATTAAAACCAGCCAAGCAATAGTTTAATGCTTAAGCACAACAAAAATATTACACATTATATACCATGAAAAGCATAGACTAGCAATGATTCTTTGAAGATTGAATATCACTAGGAAACAGGTCACATGAACTGAGGAAGAATTTTCAGACAATGAATCCATTTTAGAACTGAAATGCATTGTATGGAAATCACCTTGAATGACGCCCATGCAGTTCCCTGCTTGCTCAAATATACTGAACACAGCTGAGTGTTTGGTGCACTCAGCACGGAGACTTTGAGCCTCCATTATTAGGAGGCTGGTCCTTACTAAGCTGTTGAGTCAAGCGCCTCACGCCGCAGGCCCCGATTCCTGCAAGAATCCTTCCTTGCAGGCTGTCGACTGATTCACGCTCCACCACTGCCCTCTAGTGGCTGGTCCTCACCCCAGCCTAGCATTTACCGGAATCATTTTTCTCACCACATCTTAAGCTCTGTGAGGACTAGGGTGACGTTTTGTCCCTCTGTGTGCCCAGTTTCCAGCAGAAGTGCCTAAATAAGATGCACACACATAAACATTTGTAAAGTGAGTACATCGATAACCAAAAAAACAAAGGGGATGGTTGGATTTCTAGGTCCCATCACTGAGTTCTTCTAACCTTTTCTGTAGCTTTTATTTTTGACTTGTCTCATTGCTGCTGTGTTTATGTTCAGCCTCTTGGCCTCTGGCTGTTGTCCCCCCCCCCCCCGCCTCTGCCCCCCCTCTCTCTCTCTCTGCAGCCTGAGCTCTGAAGTAAGTAAGGAGCAGAGGTCTCCATGACTTGCGTCTATACCTTCTTTCTGGCAGGTAGCTTGGGAATTCGAAGGCATATTTTGCTTCCCTCTCGGCTCTTGCATTCCGAATTGAGTTGTCAGTCATCTGGTTTCTAGGTGAAAAGTTACTGCTATTTTGTATGTCTGTGAACTTCATGAAAAGTCTGGCCACGTGGCAAGCACCAGGACAGGAAATATGGGGTGCACCCATCTCACAACGATGCACAGGTAAGAGTTTAATGGACGTTTATCGGAAGGCCAAAGACAGGCTCACAGCGTGCCACCGTTGCCTTGGATAGTCCTGGCAGAGGTGTGGAGCCCTTGTGCCAGGCCTTCTAGGCAGCTCACACTACTTAGGGAGGCATCAAATCATGCATTCATACATCACATCAATTTGATGAGCGAGGGAAGGGAGGCTTAGAGAGATTAACAGCTTCCCAAAATGGCAGCAGGTTGTGAAACCCGTGAAGATCTAAATCTGTTTGATTCCAGAGGCCACATTCGTGACAGTTCTAATTGCTGACCCAAGAGGCCCTTGGCTTCATCAGTGTGATTGTCACCCATGGACCTGGCAAGACTTCTCACTGCACTCCAGCTTATGGCCTGGGCCCTGTTCCTTCTCTCCTAGTCCCCATCTCCAACTCTTTCTTGGACAAACTGCCCTCAGGCCATGCTGGAATGACTTTGTGACAACTCATTCCCACCCCAGGGCCTTTGTACCATCTCAGCCTGGTACACACCTCTTCCAAGAGGGTATCTATGGCTTCTCTTCTTTCCTTTAATTCTGTGATCACTGGGTTCTCCAAGGAAGGTCTTTAAAGAGCAATGATCTTTTAAAAAATTTTATTCATTTAAATTTTTCTATGGATGTTTTGGCAGCATGTCAAGCGTAGCATGTGGGCAGTGCCCGTGGAGGCCAGAAGAGGGCGCCGGACCTCCTGAGTTGTGAGCTGCCATATGGGTACTGGGGATCCAACCCAGGTCCTCTGCAAAAGCAGCAAATGCTCTTAACCCAATGAGCTATTTCTCCAGCTCCAATATTTCTACGTATTTAGTTCTTATTGATAGTCTTTTCCATTTGGTAGTAGATGCCACGATGCCAGTGATTTTGGGTGCAGCTATTGTGCCTAGACCGCAGCACTCAACACCTCCCTGTGCTAGTTAGTACATTCCTTTGTTATATGTCAGAAGTCTTTCATCTGCCTGACATGTGCTGAGCATCAGTCTCGTGCTTGGCACTGTGTTGGATATTTTCCTGCACTATGGGGGACAGAGTAATATATGATTGTGCAAAGGCGATAAGGAAATCTAGTTTTGAATAACACACTCCCCGGGCAGGCAGAAGCTGAGCCGGGGTCTGAACCACACAGCCTGGCTTGACTTTTCTTACCCAGCCACGTCTCCAGAGTTCTTTCTGACAAATAGTCTCCCTTCCGTTTCCGCACTGGTGGTATTTTGGTAAGTTCTTGCAGAGGGTGAAAAAACCGGATGCAGGGCTTCTCAGCACGACCTCTCAAGGGTCAGGACAGGACACTACATAACCCCAAGCGGGAAGCATCTCATCCGGGATCTGATTCTTAATTTGACGGATAGCTTATCAGAAATAACTAACTTCGGGTGCAGTGGTAACTGTGTGTCCATCTTGCTTTCTGGACACAGGAAGGCAATCCCCCCACAGCTTTTGGCTGACGAATCATCAGGTTTTATTTTTCACACGCAGTGTTTGTAACTGCTGTCCTTGCTCGGTTTGCTTGCTGGGGTTACATCGTGGCGCTCTGCGCAGGGTCCAGCATCACTAGGCCTTTTGGTGGAAGCTGCTCTCCATGGCAGGCACTCGGCGAACCCACCTTGTTTTCCCTCCCTCTTGTTCTTTGAGGGAGGGCGGAGGAACGCAGGTCTCCACAAATGAAAAGAACTCAGAATTAATATCGACTCTGACTCCCACGAGGCATCAATGTGGTGGTCGGGATTTTTATTAAAAATGAAAATTTGCGGAGACTAGCAAGCTCTGCAGAGTCTAGGGAACAGGGGAAGGGTGGGGAAGAGAAGACGGTGATCAAAGGTATGAAGTTTCAGCTAGAATAAAAGAAGAAGTTTTAGTGGTCTGTTGTAGTGCCTGTTAATAATTCTGGACTTACTGTGTATTTCAAATTTGCTAAAAGAATAAAAATTCTTTTAATATTCTTATCATAAAAAGTTATAACGTGTTTCAGATAATAGACACCCAAACTACTCTAATCTGATAGGTATGTATACATGTACAAAAGGATCACACCATACCCCATAAACACGTGCAATGGTGATAGATAGCCCATTAAATAGAAAATAAAAAAAAAAAACCTAGGAAAATAGTAAATTGGTGAAGTGACAGATATGCTAATTAGTTTGATTGACTCTGTTATGTACACATGAAGCCATCACATTCCATCCATAAATAATTACAATGATGACCTGTCAGTTAAAAATTTTTTTAAAAATTATACATATTTTCAAAACCCAAAAAGAAACATTTTGGCATCTGTTTACTAGGAAATCTTGGTCTCTTCTTTGCCCAGAACACCCACAATTTCATGAAGCAGGGTGGAGCGTGTTACCTAGGCAGGAGCAGCTCTGTGGAGATGTCCCCAAGGGGCTAAGTCTTAACAAAACAGTCTGGAGGATCCCCACCCCCAAGAACCAGTGCGTGCAGTACAGTCACCCCAGTGCAGGAGACCTGGACACCCTTCCAGAGACCCACCGAGGGGCGTCATTATTCAAAAGTCATAGCTGTTTTACACACACACACACACACACACACACACACACACACAGAGAAAGCTCAGCAAGATTGATGGCTAAGCCCAGGTCACACACAGGAGATTCCCTTTCTCTCTGTTTAAAAACCTCTGCTGATCTCTTGTGTATTTATAGGAAAGAAAATCCCAGGCGTCCTTTCCAGTCCTTTACCTTCTATTTCCAGACCACTGCCCACCCCTCCACCACCTGCACCTGGACCTCTGCTGTGCGCTGTGCCTCTGTGCCTGTGTTTATGTGGTCCCTCTGCCAGCACTGCCCTTTCCATGCCCATCTCCTCAGCATCTTGTCCTCTAGGAGGAACCTTTCCACGAAGCTTCCCTGGCCATCTCTCTGGTGTCCCTGACCCTTATGCCTACCTTGCTCTTAGCAGCTACCCTCTTGGATAGTCACTGTATTTCAACCGAGGACATCTCCGGGTCAAGAACGCTGCATCTTATTCATCCATTTCTTGCCACGTTGGCTCAATATAGTCAGGGCTGTACTGTTGTTTCAGTGCCTAGCATAATAATGGACTTATCACAGAGACTAAATAAAAACCAAATGAATGAATGAATGAATGAATGAATGAATGAATGAATGACCTTGGGTGGGCCTGCAGGAACACTTCCGTGGGAGATCCTGGAGTGCCAAGCCTTCAACACCCACCTGAACTATAAGACGTGTTATTAAGACTGCTGCTTCTTTCCTTTTTCTTCTTTTTATTGATTTTTTTTTAAAGATGTTTTCTCCTTTCGTGCCATGGAATGAATATAATGGTAATACAGGAAGCATTGGATGAAATGAAAAACACTCAATCTCCCATCACTGGGAGGGGACAGTCTGTTTTTGATACCGCTGTTATTCCTCTCAGGGTGTTTGCTGCTCGGTTGTGATTGGCTTGATGAGGCCATACTTCACACTCAGCAGGTGGGACGAGGCAGCGAGATGGAGGCTGCTCTCTGAAAAGAGTGGCCATGGAGGACTGCTAATAGTTGGTCCAGAACATGGTCCTTCTCTAGTTCTTTGTCCCAACCCCCAAAACAGGTAGAAGGTTTAGAAGAACGCCCGTGTTAATTAATAATAACCACAGCTGCTCACTGGAGCAGACCCATCACTTGTTCCTTGACAACAGCATGGGCTGCTCTCCCCAGAGCCATAGCCCATCCGTGTCTGTCTTGTTCTGGGCATCCACACATCACCAGACTCGCTTGCTTTCTGGCTTCTGGGTGAGTCTGGTATACAGAAGGCATGAGCTGAGAAGTTAGAGGACAGAACGAGAGCTTGGAGTCTTTATTCTTCGCTGCCTGAACTGAGGCCACGGTTCTGGCAATGGCTGCCATCTATCTACCTCCAGACATAATTCCCAATAGAAGGCTCCCCCTCAACTAATGTCACTCATGACAGCATCATGATTTTTCCTTTTGTTTTTTTTTGTCCCTTTGGGCCTAGGGTTGGGAATTGCTTCCTATCATTGCTTGTCTCCCAACGTTTCATTATTTTTAAATTGATTCTCCTAACTGTGGTCACATTTTCTTAGAAGTCTCCTAAATAATGCTGTTAAGAAACAGTTGTTTAATCCCTGTAGGCAAGAAAGGAAAGGGGCCCATGGTTGTTCACACGGTGAAATAGCTGTTAGAGCTAAAAGGGAATGTTTGGGTTAAAAAGATGAGGCCCAGATCATTGGGGGTGGTAAGCAAAGGAGTTAGTAGCTGGTATGAGATAACCAAGTTAGATAATAGAAGGAAGAATAGACCTCTGGGTAAATGACAGATAACGGTCAGCTGGTTCCATTGGAGGCCTTGAAGGAACATATTCAAGGTGCTGTTATCATATACCCTTGCTAATGAAGCTAATAGTGACAGGTTAAACTAAAAATAAGAAAGGCTTCTAGTGAGTCTGCTCCTGCCTCAGAGAAGAGATCATAGATGCTCCAATAGACCAGGAGATAGCAACAACAACAAGACCACAACACAACACCACCACCCACCCTGAAGCTCTATAGACGTCTCTCTCCCACAGTAAAGCTACACATGGATCCTGTAAACAACAACAAGACCACAACACAACACCACCACTCACCCTGAAGCTCTATAGAATTAACTGTCTCATGTAGTAAACTTACACTTTCTATCCTGTAAATGTGAGCATGAAGAGTGCTTGGTGTGATTCACAGCCCTTGAGATAGCTACAAAATCAGGGGTAGTGACCCTGGCCAATTGACAACAGCCAAATCAAGACTGGCTGTCAGGCTGGAGTCAGAGGTGGACAGAGGGAGGCTACAACTCCTCCCAAATGTGTGGGCAGCACACGGACAGTACAGGATCATTTCCCCAATTAAACCAGGATGTCATTCATAGACCATGTGGCCGTCCCTTGGCTTAGTCCAGGATAGCCCAGAAAATTAGCTGACCTCCACAGCAATCACCCAGCCAGCCTTTGCCTAGTTTCTGCTATTGGTCTATAAAATCCCCAGACAAAGGAAATTAAATTTTCCTCTCTTGGAAGCTCCTTCCACTCTCAGGAGTTTCTCTCACTTTTTCTTTCTTTTTTCAAATTCTTGCTTTTCTGTAGTAACTCTTAATAAAACCTGCTTCTACTTTGACTTCTCCCACAAGGATCCACTATCTTTAATTTCATTTCAGTGAGACAAAGGATTTTTTGCCACTGTCCCAGATTAATCACTGATGGCCCTAAGGGTCCAGTGTTTTCGGTCCTCGGGGAATGCACTCCTGGGCTGCTAAAGGTTCACAGATATATATGAGAGCCACACACCCTTTTCCCAAGCCACCCTCCCCCATGCTGGTGTTGTGCCCAATAGAGCTGGGTTCACAGCTCAGCTCTGACATTTACTGGGAGACATTGGCTCAAGGGTTAGAATTCTTGAAACCAAATCCAGGTTCTTTGTTTTGTTCCTGTCCTCTTGTTTTGCTTGAGGCAGAATCTCTTGTAGCCCAGGCTAGCCTCAAATTCACAGTGTAGCTGAGGATGACCTGGAAGCCCTGATCCTCCTGTCTCCACTTCGAATTGCTGGGATTACAGGTGTGTGTGTGTGTGTGCACATGTGTGTGTGTACATGTGTGTGTGCACGTGTACAAGTATGTATGTGTGACCATGCCCTGCAGTAACTTTATTCGTAATGGAGTATAGCACCCCATCTCTCTCCCAGATTTGTAGCAAGGGATAAAGGAGATGATACAATAGAAAGTGTTTCACAAGAGCTTGGTGTGTGCCTCACATCGATTCACTCTCTAAGTTCCCTCTGCTCAGCGGTGGGAATATAAAGGTTTGGAAGACCCAGGCTTATGGCTCAAGACTCTCAGAGACAATGTGGGAAAGAGACAGCTTCGCTGCCATGGTTTATATGTGAAATGCCTCCCACAGGCTTGTGTGTTTGAAATCTTGGCCTCTACCTGGTGGAGCTGTTTTGCTGGGCTGAAGAATCTTTAAAAGCCTTGATAGAGGAAGTGAGTCTGCGGTGGGAGGGGCTTTGATGTTTGTTAGCTCTACTTCCTGTCCACACTGCTCTTGACTGCAGCTGCGGCATCGCCAGTCACCTTACACACCTGCTTCATGGCTTCTCCACGGTGATGGACCCTGTCCACTCTTAAACTGAAGCCAAAATAAATGCTTCCTCCCTTAAGTTGCTGCTTTTTCATGTGTGTGTGTGTTAGAGGGTACATGTATATGTGCACGTGTGTGTGCACACGTACCTATGCACGGGTATGTGTGAGTGTGAGGCTAGAGGATGAGGTCAGTCTCTTCACTGAATGCTTTTCGCTTTCTCTTGCTGACCTTACCAACCAGGCTAGTCTAGCTAGGCAGCTTGCTCCAGGGACCGGTTTTGCCTTCCAAGTACTGAGATCACAGGTGCACAGCCATTCCTGCCTGGCTTTTATGCTGACGCCGGGGGTGTGAACTCCAGTTCTTACAGTTGCACAACAAGAGCCATCTCCCTAACTCTCAAGTGCTTCTCACTGGGTACTTTATCTTAGCAATGAGAAGAGAGACACGCATGTCTGATGAGATTTTTCTCATCCTCAGTTTGGGACTCCAGTATAGCTTTAACCTTGCACAAGGCTCTCTCTCCTTTACTGACTCCTCAAATATCCGTGAGTCCCAGCCTGGCCCATAGCAGACCCCTTCATTATTGCCACAGCCCCATTGTCACCCAGTCAGGTGACCGTATCCCTCCTCTGCTAGAGGTGACTTGTGCCCTATTTCAGGTCACCCAGTGCCCTTGGCTTGAGGAACAAGATGCAGGGTAAAATGGCAAGACCGTGGAATGTCTTCCCCTCCCACACGTCTCACTGGCCTGGCTGCTTGGCCTTCACCTGCAGCAGTGCCATCCACAAGGCCACTCGAGCACAGATAGATATCCACGCTTATTGGCATTCCATAGGAGCCTGAGTGACAATACCGAGCTGATGGAAGGGTCTTATGCATCACGAATATGAATATCATTATTCAAATCACTCTGGTAGATGTTGAAGATAAAAGGAAATGTTTTATTTTGTGTTCATTAGGCACTAGAGGGTACGTTGCCCCTGGCTGCCGACTCATTATGCCTGTTATGGTTAATGGGAGTTAAACTCCAATATCACATCAAGGGGGAGAAATGGTCCCATAAGTATTTGGAAATTTTTTTCCTCCAAATTGCAGATCAAAGCTGGGTTATGAACTTCTATGCTGTCTTGCTAATGGATTAGACTAACAGCATTCTTTTAATTTTTCCCATATGCTGACGCTCTCTACATGGGGATGATTATAGGAACTCCATGAGCCTGTGAGATTGAAAGATCTACCAGAGTCCGTTGCCAGGGTGAGTTTGCCTTGCAGGGGGGAAACCCAGCAAAGCCAAAATACCTGCTCTTAGTCAGGAGTCTAAGCATGCCTTCTCACCCGTCCTTGACACAACAGAGGCATGGGTGGTTAAGTAACCTATCAAATGACGTAGCTAATCGGAGCACCAGGTGACAGACGGGCCCAGGGCTTTTTTGTTCAGAATCGTGCCAATACACTGGGGCTTCCTCCCAAATGTCTCACAGCTGCCTACTCTACAACAGCAAGATGTGGATAAGGCTGGCGTGGGCATTTAATAAGGGCAGTGTGGTGTTTCGAATGAGAATAGTTTCCCTAGGCTCATATATTTGAATGCTTGGTCACTAGTTGGTGGAACTGTTTGAGAAGGATTAGGAGGCGTGGCCTTGATAGAGGATGTGTGGCCCTGGAGGTAGGCTTTGAGGTTTCAAAAGCTCATGCCAGGCCCAGTTAGTCTGTTTCTGCCTTTTGCTTGTGGTTCACATGCAAGCTCTCAGCTTTTGACCCAATGCCATGCCTGTCTGGCTGCTTGTCCTGCTCCCCGCTAGAATGGTCATGGACTCACCCTTTGAGACTGTAAGCTCCCATTAAACACTTTCTTCTATAAGTTGCCTTGGCTGTGGTGTCTCATCTCATCACAGCAATAGAGAAGTAACCAAGAGAGGTAAACACTGAGCTGACAAAATTACCAGAGAATGGAGACTGATTCAAACTCATTCATGCTATCTGCTTGCTGTAGTTTTCTCCTTTCTTAAAACTGATAATGAGAAAATGATTTAATTTCAGGTCTCTGTGGGTGAGGAGCTAGGAAAGGACCCCTTTTTGTGACAACAGTCATACACACACACACACACACACACACACACACACACACACACACACGGAAAGGAGGAAATGCAGATAAGAGAGAGAAGTTTGAGAGCCTGGCACTCAGAAGGCTGAGCTCAAGACTACCCTGTGCTACATAGAAAGACTGTCTCAAAAATGATACAAATAAGAGAGAGAGAGAGAGAGAGAGAGAGAGAGAGAGAGAGAGAGAGAGCGCACAATTTGCTGGTTATGACCTCAGCATGGTGAGAGGAGGCTCCACTTTAACTATTAACTGGCTGCTTTTTTTTACATTTGTGTGTGCATGCGTGTGTGTGTGTGTGTGTGTGTGTGTGTGTGTGTGTGTGCGTGTGTTTTTTTGTGGCACACACCCCTGCCATGACTTTCATATTGAAGTCAAATGGTAACCTGTGGAAGTCAAATCTTCTACCATGTGGGTTCTGGGAATTGGATTCAGGCCATCAAGCCTAGCTGCAAAGTGCCTTAACCTGCTAAGCCATCTTGCCAACCCTATTATTTCACCATGAAGGAGACTTCTAGTTACTGCTAGAAGGAGAGAAGCCCTGGGAAGCTGAGACCCACACATATAACCCTGAACAGACATGGTCTCCCGTGTGGCATTCAGCATGTGTGCCCTTAGACTAACTTGTTAGAGGGTGACACTTCATCATGCAGGTACATAATCTGCAGCATCACACCAGATAGCTAAAATGATGGTTTGCTGCACTGCTTGTCACTGAAGATGGAGGAGGGAATTAATCCCTTCTCTCCGTATGCCATGCTTTCCTGCAACTATTCCGCCATCTAAACAAGATGCAGCCTGGCTTTGTCTCCTCCTCCCAGGCCCATTTGCTGGGCCTCAGTGATCTCTGTTGTTCTCCTTTGTGCTGTCTGCAGTTTGGCTCTGTCTGCGGTGAAATGTGGGGCCCAGGAGGAAACAGGAATGGATCTTCTCAGCTATACTCGATGACTCTGCCGAGATTCCACCTGGAAGCTGCACTCAGCTCAGAGCTCCTAATTACCAGCCAGGTACAGACAAATGGGCCGAGTGTTTGGGGAAAAGCAGCAAGAGTGATGGAGAAAGACAACTTGATTTATGGAGAGAGATTAAAGGAGCTGAATAGGTGGAGCTCAGCAAAAGATGATGGGGTGGAGCTAGGGGACCATCTCCTTGTATCTGAAGGCTGCAAACAGTCAGCAGACTAAGAGTTATTTCGGTTAGAGCCGAGAAACATAACAAAGAGTGATGAAAAGAAATTTATGATAATAATAGACTGTAATTTTATACCTATTCCCAAACCAAGGAACCTCAAAACATTTTATGGCTAAGTATAATACACACACTACAACAGGGCGTGTTGAGGCTGTAAAGTGGCAGGTAATTTAGCAAAAGCCTTTGAAAGAAATAATATTTAGTGAGAAGGTAATGGGTCCTCCTCGTGTAAAGAGCAGGGACCTGGCTTTTGTTTTGTCTGCTGCCCACTCCCAGGCGTGGTTCAGATGGAGAATGGCATTGCTTTATGTTTTCTGAAGCACGCAGGGTTCAACCTTCTTTAAAAAGAGGAGGAGGAGATCCTTACAGATCAGAGCAAAACTTGGAAGGCTGCTACAGCAAAGCTCTTAACCCAGCGCCAGGTTCCCCACTGGCTGACTTGGGCAGTTTGGGCTGCTATGGAAATGTGCTTTAGCCTCAACAGCTTATGAACAACACAAAGACACCACTCTCCATGCCAGAGGCTGGGACCCGAAGAGCTAAGCGCTGGTAGAATAGGTAGGTGTCTTGTAGGAGGCAGCATTCACAGGGAACAAGGGCAAGCTGCCCCCTCTAGCCTCTGCTGTTCTGAAAGGCTCACTTTATTTTTATTTGTTTATGCTCGCATGCCTGAGGAGGCCAGAAGACAGTCTCCTGAGACTGGAGTTACATGTGGTTGTGAGATACCCAGCATGGGAACCAGAAACCACCTTTTAGTCTTCCGCAGCGGCAGTGTGCAGGTTAGTTTTTATTGCTAATCTGATACAACCTAGAGGGAGATGGAACCTCAGCTGAGGAACTGCTTAGATCAGATTGGCCTGTGTGATGTCTGGGCCACAGTCTTGACTGATGTTTGGTGTAGGAGAGCTTAGCCTGCTGTGGACTGTAGCATCCCTAGGCAGGTGGTCCAGGCTGATAGAAGAAAGATAGCTAAACATAAGTGAGTGAGCCATGAAGCAGCCTTCCTCCATGGTTTCTATTTCAGCTTCTGCTCGGGTTCCTGCCCTCACTTCCTCAGTGACGTACTGTGATGTGGACATGTAAGCCAAATAAGCCCTTTCCTCCCCAGGTTGCTTTTGGCCTTGACATTATCACAGCTGCAGAAACCAAACTAGAACAAGGCTGGATGATCGTATAGCCCCTTCTAGCCCGTCTTAGAAAACACTCATCTCATTCTTGAGAGCTGGGTCTCTCAAGACCTCTCACCTCTCAGGTCCTTTTAAGATATTTACTTGTAATTATGTCTGTGTCTGTGTGGGACTATGTGTGCTGAGTGTCAGTGCCCGAGGAAGCCCCAGAGAGTCTTGGATACTCTGGAGCTGGGGTTTCAAGAGGTTGTGAGCCGCCCAACCAGGGTGCTGGGAGTCAAACTGGGATCTTCCGCTGGAACAGTATAAGCTCTTAACTACTTAGCCATCTCTCCAGCCCCCCTCCCCCCTTCACCTCTAAATACCATCACCACCAGGACTGGGATTCCAACCCAAGAATGTGAGGCATGAGGATGATGGCATTCAGGCTGAATTGCTGCGAGAGTAGAGGTGATGGGAAACATCTCTGTCACATCTTTACCCTTGTTCAGTGGAGACCAGGAGACTAGACCTCTCCCTAGGGAGGCAGATCTTTGTCCCTTTCCTCGTAATGGGACAGAAAGGCAGCTGAGCCTTTGCTTTTTGCACTTCCCTCAGCTTGGACCATTCCTTCCTCAGACATGTACATCTCTGCTTTCCTCGCTTCACTCAGACGGTGCTCAAACACCAGGTTTCTTGTTGCTCTTGTGGGTTTGTGCGTAGAGCCTGGGGCTCTGTGTGTGGTTGGCAGTCACTCTGCCACTGAGTTCCTTTTGTCTTGCCCTGCCAGGAGGAACTGTACCTGGTCACCCCGCCTGAAACATCATCCCACTGCTCTCCCACTACTGTGCTCCACACAGCTGGGGTGCTGGACCCTGATAGAGACTCTGAGGGAGTGAAGAAAAGAGAGACACACAGGAAAGCTGGGATCCAGTGAGGACTTGGCTACCTCCAGCAACCTGGAACTTCAGTGTTGTTTTTATGTGGTTTTTGTTTTGCAAAGCACAGGGGCGGAGTTAGCTAGCCTCAGTAGGAGGTGTCTGTCTCTGAGCATCTCAGGATGTAAACATCTGGAAGAAGAGGAAGCCACCAATTTTCATACAGACTGGTTACCCTCTCACTCTCAGACTCCCAAGGAAAGCTTTGCCATCTCCTTGAGCCTGATCCAAGTAAGGCTTTGCCACTCGGGTGGGGCTAAGGCATTGGAACACTTGATGTGGCAGTGCCCGTGTGAACAGTACACACTCACTCAGGACTTCTCAGGGCTCTCTCTGCTCCTGACACCCCAGCCCCTACTTTGTTTTTAAGCATATTTTTTTGTCGATTCTTTAAGAATTTTATATCATGCACCCCAATTCCACTCATTTCCCAATTCTTCCATTTCTGCCTTCTACCCTTGTAACATCCCCTCAAAGGAAAAAAAAATCTCACTGATCCCTCTAGGCAGGACCTGCTTCCCAATCTATCAATCACAGCCTTCTCACGCCTGTCACAGCTGTTGTGTCTCCAGTTCCTCTGTGCATGGACCATTCTGCTCCTCCATCTTTCCTGCCTCTCCATCACATATTTGCCATTGGGATCTGTGGTGTGTAACACAGTAGACCCTTTTGCCCAAACAGCTTTACATGCAAACACTCATTGCAATGAGTCATTGGTCTGCTTCAAGGCCTCTGGCTGTTGCTACACCATCAGTACCAGACCTTCATCCAGACTCCTCTCAGATATCCTACTGTTGCCCCAAGTCATAGAGATCCTCAGCTATGGTCACGAAGGACCAGCCCTTCACTTGATCCAGCAAGCTCATAAATGGGGTGGATATTGGGGTGGACCAACTCAAAATCCTGGGATGTGGGCTTGGGTGGTAGATGAGTTGGTCAGCCCACAAGTTCTTCCATGAAGAAACCACTGGGGCCAGCTCTCCCATCCTGCTCAGGTGAGGGGCAGAGCCAGCTCTCCTGCATGTGATGGCCAGAGAGGGGCAGGACCAACTCTGTATATCCCTAGGACACCAACATGACTTCAAGTGTCAGCCCAGACCACGGACATCTGCATAGCCTTTGGTGGCAGCATGGGCCATGGACATCAACATAGACTCATAGACAGCTGTGTGTGGCAAGGCCATGGACCCAGACATGGCCCTCGTCAGCAGCACAGGCCTGGGTATCACCATGACCTCAGGTGGCAGCACAGGCCAGCATCAGGCTGTTCCTTACCACCCTTGTGTCTCCAGTTTGGCCTTTCTTCACAGTACACAAACCACTCTACTTGCTTTCTCTCCCCTCTCTCTACCACATACTTGCTCATTGTTGTGGCACTTGCCTGTTTTGTTATTTTTTTTAAAGAGTTGTTTCCAGTATCTAAAATCATTATATTATTGAATTATTACGTTCCTTTCTGTCTGTTCTGGTTTGAATGCAAACTCCTAAAGGATAGAAAATTTATATGTTCTGTTCAGTATCCTCATCACTTCCTGGACACTGATAGTATATGCAAATATTAGCAAAGTAAATTTACTTTTTTTCAAATAGGGAAGACTTACAGATTGCATGTGTGGTTTATGTCTTCAGCATATTCTCTCTGCCCCTCTCTCCCCCCCTTGTGTGTGTGTGTGTGTGTGTGTGTGTGTGTGTACGTGTACATTCCCACATGCCTATGAAATACACCTGTGTATGGGGGTGTGTGTGCATATGTGTGGGGAAAAAGCTGGAGGCCAAAGGACAACTTCAGCTGTCATTCCTTATGTTTTGCTCACCATGTATGTTTTGAGACTGGAGTGTCTGTCACTGACCTGTAACGCATCAAGTACACTAGACAAGCACCAGGGACCCACCAGCCTCCATTTCCCCACTGCTGGGATTACAAGTGTGTGTCACCTTGCCCAGATTTTTTTTCACAGTGATTAAATTAGACTCATTCAATAAATATACAGTATCTTTCAAACTATAAAACCAGTAGAAGTTACCACCTTAACTATTGAAGACAATTATATACCCTGTCAGTAGATATTTTAAAAAATCACTTGATAAATTGAATATCTTTTTTTGTAGTATAGATCTGGAAGTCCCACCCAACACATTAAGAAGGGGAAAACATAATTACCAACACAAATGGTCAACTGGTGAATACAGTACAGGTCAGGTAACTCTGACTGGGAGAAGGGATCTAGTCTAGTGGGAGTTGGGGGGGTAATAAGAGGAGGACTCGCTGATCAGGAAGATTTGGGAGTTGGTGGCCAAGCAATTTTTACAGGGAAAGTGTGGGCTTTTATGTCCTTAACTTGCCTCATGGTTCTATAAGGTCAAATTCCTGTACACTATTGACTAGTTGATCATTTGTATTCCTACTGACAACATACTTGCGGAAGCTAGAAGCCAATGATGAATGTCTTTATTTTTATTTTTTTTAGTCTCTCAGTGAAACTAAAGCTTCTGATTTATCTAGACTAGATTTCCAAGGAGTTTTTGGGATCCACCTGTCTTTGCCTCCCCAGGACTAGAACTACAGACATACTAGTGGGCACATTTGTGTAACGATAAATCTTTCCACCAAGCCTCCCGAGCCCCGCCACCACGTGGGTGCCCAAAATAACACACAGAGATTAATATTAGGTACAATGCTGCTGGCCAATGACTAGGATTTCTTATATGCTTGCTCTGTCTTAAGTATCAACCATAGCCATTAGTCTACATATTTATAAAGACTTATCTTATGGAGGACGCCAGTGGCATGCGTCCTCTTCCTGGAATCACATGGCGGCTCCACAGAGAGGAGAGGAGGAGAAAGAGCAATTTCCTGCTTGTCCCTGTTTATATTCTGAGTCTGCCTGCTACGTCACTTCCTGCCTGGATCACACGACTTCTCTCTCTCTCTCTCTCTCTCTCTCTCTCTCTCTCTCTCTCTCTCTCTTATTTGAATTACAAACAAGATTAAATTACATGACAATCCCAGTTCCCTTCTCCCTCCCTTCCTCCCCTACAGCCCCCCCAACTAAAACCCTACCTTTCGCATATCCTTTCTTCTAATCTTCCCCTGACTCAACCTTTCTGCTCCCTCATGACCTCTGCATCCTTCCTCTTCTTCCCTTCTCATTCTCGTAGCTTCCTCCCCCCTCTTCCCATGCTCTCAATTTGCTCAGGGGATGGTGACCCTTTCCCCTTCTCCAGGGGACAAAGTTTGTCTCTTTTTAGGGTCCTCCTTATTTACTAGTTTCTCTGGCAGTGTGGATTATAGGCTGGGAATCCCTTACTCTATGTCTAAAATCCACATATGAGTGAGTACATAGCATGTTTGTCTTTTTGTGATTGGGTTACCTCGCTCAGAATGGTTTCTTCGAGTTCCATCCATTTTCCTGCAAATTTCAAGATTCCATTGTTTTTTTTTTTTTTCTGCTTAGTAGTACTCCATTGTGTAAATGTACCACATTTTCTCTATCCATTCTTCGGTTGAGGGGCATCTAGGCTGCTTCTAGTTTCTGGCTATTACAAATAGTGCTGCTATGAACATGGTTGAACAGATGTCTTTGTTGTATGAATGTGCTTCTTTTGGGTATATGCCTAGGAGTGGAATTGCTGGATCTTGTGGTAGACTGATTCCCATTTTCTTGAGGAGTCGCCATACTGATTTCCAAAGTTGCTGTACAAGTTTTGCCCAGAATTTTTAAACATGGGTTTGAGAGGTTGAATTTTAACAACTGTGCCATCTTCCCAGCCTCTGCAGCATGTTTTCAATCTTTATATTCTTACTCTTTCCATAATCCTGGGGTATGAGCTTGTTCTTCTCTCTAATTATTAGAGGTAAAAACCAAGACACAAAATTATAACAGGAGAAAAACAAACATGTCAGGAGCCAGGTTGGTGTGCAGAGTTCCGGAGTTCTTTGGCACTCTCCTGTCAGTGTCCAAATTTTCAATCTATGAGCTCCTTGCCTTCTGCATTGCATGGACCCCTAGAAAGTCATGAGCAGACAATACAGGAAAATCTTTGTGCAGAATTGGTAAGTGTAGAAAGCAACGATCTCATCACAGGGACTCTACTATGCTGGGCCAATTCCCATTGGCCACTAATTACAGGCCCTGTTTGTCTGCTAAATATATACCTCACTTGGCTTTGTGCTTTGTTGTATAAAGTAGCTGAGAGGGGAGAAGAGGTACTTTGCAGCTGTGCTTTCTCTGCCTTCCATCTGGTTAAGATTCTTAATGGCCACACACATGGCTGGTAATGCCTTTTCCAACCCAAGTTTTCAATGATTGTCTTCAACTTCTAACTTGCAAGCATATCAAGAGAACTGGAAGGCTTCCCCCTCTCTGATTGGCTGGCATCGGCATCACTTTTTACTTTTCTCATTAATACACAATAATAGCATGCCAGACAGCAATAGTGGGACCTGGAGGAAGCAGACATAGTCCTTCACTAGAGGCCCCATAAGAACATTTTTGCAGGAGATTTGTAAAGCTGCAGCACACATGACAATTATCCTGAAAATGAGGTCATGGTGTGCTTGACCCTTGTGGGAGGGGCCACAGTTTTCATTTTCAATATAATTATAGGGGCAATGGTGACCTGGATGGACCAGTGCAGAAGCAGTGCCTTCAGTGACATTTCAAGGATTAAGTGATGGAGAAAACAGTCAGGGCTGGCTTCAGAAATGAAGTATCCAGGGCCAGGGAGAATAGGCCAGTCAATGAAGTTGTTGCCATGCAAGCAAGGAACCGAGTTCCACAAGAACCCACATTAAAAAAAAAAAGACAGGCACAGTGGTAACCTCAACATTGGAGAGACAGACAGGGGATCTCTGGCATTTATTGCCAGGCATTCTACCAAATCAGTGAGCTCCAGGTTCAGGGAGGGACCTTGCCTCAAAAATACAGTTGAAAACAATTAAGGAAGATACCACACAACATAGACCTCTGACACACACACACACACACACACACACACACACACACACACACACACACACCACACAAACACACACACACTTAAGTATGCACACATGCACACAGGAACACTTGCCCAAACACACAGGAAATGAAGCTCCCATTTGCATCCAGAGTTGAGGCTTTGCTTTATTTTTGCAGTGCTGCTCCAGTCTGCAGACTCCGCCATAGGACTAAGAGTAGCAAAAGAAATTGTCAAAGAACCAGCCAACTTCCAGTGACAGTAATTTCCTGAAATTCCCTGGCTCCTTTTGGACCCAGATGGCCTGTGGGAAGGTCAAATGAGAAACATAAGAAAGGGGCCCATTTGAAAGTCTTTGTGTTATTAGTGGTTGGCATCTGGACCAGGTGTTTCCAGGTTCTTGGCCTCTTATTCAAGGAATTGAAGTAAAGACTCATACAGACTTGTAAATGTAGCCAGAGAAAAGTGACAGGATGGTCAGATATACTACCAAGAGTGACTGCAGGCTACACAAGTGAAATATCTTGATTATTTGGGGGGGTTCTCCTTTTATTGGGTTCAATATAAGGGGGAGCTTGGTTGTTTAAGGGGAGAGTTTGGGTGGTTCCCTATTTTGATGGACATATTTAAGCTATATGGTCATTTCTCTACTGCTCATGTCCCTTCTCTGATTTCAGTCATACATATGCTCAATTTTACATGGGTATAAGATGGTAAATAGAGGATTCTCTCTAAAGTATCACCAAAAGAACACAGTTTGCCTTATTGAGCCTTCATTCCAAACCAGTCTACACGGGATCAACTCATTGCCTAGAGTTAGGGGTGAGGTCACATGGGTGGGGTTAGGAGGGAGGGCATTTGCTTCTTTGTTTTGCTTTGTCAAAGAAAAGATCCAACTACAACACATTTATAATTGGCATATTTATAACTGACTTTTACTTGAAGTTGTGGGACACAGCAACACCAGGAGTTCCCTGAGGAGCCCAGTAGAGGAGTTTGGTGCTGTAGACAGGGCTGAGGGCAACGGAAACAGAATACAGAGTAGACTGGTTTTCAATGCTGTTTTCCTCCAAGGATTTAGTCAGGGAAAGAAAGTCCTTATCCCCTGCCCTACATAATCTGGACTCTTTATGATTTGGTTGCTGTGAATTTCCTCATTCTTTGTTTGTGTTGATGTTTGTTTTGTTCTTAATCCAGCCCATCTCCACATTCAGTGTAGGTAGCACCTGACATGAGTGATTCCATTCTGGTTTGGTCTGGTCTCTTGGGGCCTCATGCACAAGGCCAGTTCAAAACAATAGCCATCTACACATCCCATTTTACAGATCCTAAGTTTTGTGAGAAATTCTACATGGTTGGTTGATCAGATACCCAGTGGGCAATCCACAGAGAAGATGGGTAGCAGGAGACCCTCTTCGTCTCTTGCTAAGTGTGTTTGCTTACTTGCACTTGGCATGCAGAGTTCCTGTTTGAATGCACAATCAGTCACTGTGATTTGACCTTTGTCTCTGCTTTGGTGGGCAGTCTTCAGCTACTCTGGGACTATGCCAAAGGGAAACCTGACCCACCATAATCTCAAAGGGAAGACACATTCTCCTTCTTAGCAGATGAATTACAT